TTTCAGACAAGGTTGTCCCATCTTCAAGTATACATGGCTGGACATACCTCAACCACAGAAAACTTGTCTAACAATCCACTGCCACCCCACCCCCAACTCTCAGTAGTTCTGAGCCCATCAGAGCCCCAAAGGATATCTAAGATGTCTGGAAAAAGATTTAAAAAAACGAAAGCCTTGACATCCACATTCTTCTATCTGTTTTATTTCTAACAATAATAAATACAGACAACATATATTTTTCTTATATACATTTTAATATATTTATAGTTATTTTACAGGCTTGAAATGCTCTATCACGTTAATATGGTTAATATGGACCTGCAGAAATGCTGATTTTATTTCTCATGGCAAATGGCAAAAGCCTACATTCCAGTAATAGAGAAATGAAATAGTTACCCGTATATTTAAGTTAAGCAGCTTTGGGTATTATTCCCCCCCTTACCAAAAAAAAGTGGGAAGACTGTCGCTGAAGATATTATGTACTTATTAGAAAACTGAGGGTTACAAATGCACTAATGCGGTTTGCAGTCATTATTTTATGCATTATTGCCTTTGAAATGAAATACAGAATTAGTTGTTACAACTAAAAGTCATGGAAAACAACCCCTAAGCACTAAAAACTTAGGTAGGTAAAGGACTTTGAATCTATGATTTCATTTTCAGAACCAACTCAAAATATATACACACAACTATGTAGTCACTATATACGCTCCCCAGAGGGTGGCAATGCACCATGTAAAGCAATTTGACTCTTGAAAATGCTTTCAATTAACTTTTCTATATACTAAAAAAAACAAAACTAAACTTGATACATTACCTATACCAATGGTCTCATATACTGAACATAATCAAGACACCAGATATTAGAAAAAAATTAATACACATACATAACTACAGTGTAGTAACATTCTAACATGTAAAATTCTAACATAAATTAAAACAACTTCTTTTGTACACAAGTTGCAAAATTTACAGGTAAACTCATTCAGTACCAATATAACCATAATAAATATTTTTGCTTCCCACAGTATCACTTTATTGAATGCTTTATTATGTGACAGGCATCCTGCTGCTGGGTCCTAAAATGATGGAGTCACATCCCTATTCCTAAGAGCTTCCAGTTAAATGAGGAAGAAAGACATGTAAAGAAATATTTATATAATGAAATATTAACAGAGGAATCTCCTTTTACCTTCAGGACCAACAGCGTAATCTGTCAAGCCTGTTAGGCCTTTGCGGTTGGGGATATTGTCAAAGTTAAATGAAATGTATAAACCTGCCTGGCTCGTACAGTTATTTAATGATGGATTTATGTTATGGAAATATTATGTTTTTCCAACTGGACTAAGAGCAAAGATAAACTTCAAAATTTAGACAGTTATTACCACAAGCTGGTCAGTATCAGTGTGTTAGCAAGCTGTCCTTTCTTAGCCACCCAGGGTATAATTACCTTAGTTATTTTATTGTATACACTCTGGAGTCTTTTTTACAAGTGTTCTTAAAATTTTGAAAATTTTATCCAATGACGAAAGACATTAAAATTTGGCTTTAAAATTCCCCTTCTAGAAAATACATTTGTAATGCTATTGATGAGGGAGTGGCAGGTAGGAGAAGAGAGACACAGCAAGACTCTGACCTTGGTGAGCTTTATGGGAGCTGGAGACCAGGTGAGACCATGAGATGTCCGAATTAATTAGTACACTGGGGATGGGACCCGAAGAAGTATCTACATAAGAATACAGATTCTGCAGTGCTGTTCAGGTTTGATCCACTTAAGTGACAGAGCTAGCCTAGTTTCTCGGAGTCAGCTGTGTAAGGACAAAGCACGTAATTCAGCCACGATACGAGATGTTAAGGTGCTAAGCACTTAACAAGAAGGAAAATGAGGTGTTGTTTTGGAGGACTGAGAAACATCTGAATCACTGGCAAGGGCCAGCAAGCAAGGACCAACAGCGGAAGCAATTACAATGAGGCAGAATTATTTTCAGTGTTAGGAAGAACTCTGTAAAAAGAACTGTTCAAGGGGCTGGGGACTTAGCTCAGCGGCAAAGCGCCTGCCTGGCAAGCGCAAGGTCATGAGTTCGGTTCCCGGTACCGGAGAAAAACCAAAAAAAAAAAAAAAAGAACTGTACAAAAATGAAGACAGTGATTCTACCCCAAACACGCTGAATGTGAAACTGAAAAGGGCTTGCATGTTCAGGATGCTGCATCAGTTAGAGGGGTTTTCTACGCTAGGTTGGAAGCTGCACCAGATTCCAATGTTATTTTCAAATCTGAACATGAGTCCATGATTTAAAAGAGCTATCTTTTGATACATTTGTAATAAGTAGTATCATCTTATGATTAAATTCCCTACTTGGATGTTAAATTTGATTAAGCATCAGTCATCAAGTATATTTATACACATATTTAAATTTTTAAGATAAAAAGATACTCTTTCAAATTCAATAGTATTTAACTTAAACCAATACCTTTACTTATATACATTTTGTAGGGAAATAATAATTCAGAGAAAGTTTTATATACTGGGCTTTAAGTTTTTATTCACTATAAAAAATGCACCTATGGTAAATAGAAGGAAGAATTTCAGTTAGCAACTCACTGTAAATGTCAGCACCATATAGGCATTTCCTGAGTGATTAAAGAAAGAAAAGAAAAAGAAGAGAATTCCTTTCAATGAAAATCTTCCTCAAATGATATAGCTGTAAAACTTGGGTCCTACTGACAAAATCATGAATATGGAGAACAAGCGAAACGACAATGTCCAAAATGCTAAATAAGTTGGAAGAAGTAATCAGTCATATGTAAGAAAAAAAGATCCAATGTGTAAATCCAATTTAACAATCTTCAGTCATGCACTCCTGCATAGGAAGTTATTTGGTTAAAAATTTTTGATGTGTCATTCTAAAGTAGGACTTTATAAAGTGAAACAAAACTGTTTCTTGTACTGAACAGCCATCTTTTCTCCTATAAATTCCAGCCCATGTTTTTTGGTTTTCCCCAGAGCTGTCCCCTGGAAGAGATTTTGGAACCTTATACTTCAATTCTAAATATAGAGGAGACAATTTTCTAAAATACCACATTCCAATTAAGCTGAGAATTATGATCTTGGAATAACATATCTTCAACTATATAATCATTACATTATATTTATATTACTTCAGAATATCAAAAAAATAAATACATGCATCCCTCTGTGCTAGAATCTTATTTTCAAGTGGCATAGCTTGAGCTAATCACACTGAACACACATTCAATGGCTTGTCTTAGTATCTGGAAAATAGAATCCTATTGCAGTATACCATTGCTCCCAAGTAATCTAGCTGCCACAGGTAACGTGATGGGTACTGCTGCGATAAAGACCTCTTTCCTTCCCCAGACTTGCATATTAGAGAATGGTTAGTTTTGATTATGCAAATAACCTTCCCACCACTCAGTCCCAAAGGCTCTAAAATGAACAAGACGTCTACCACATTTTAACCCAAGTTTGAAGATTTCTCTAGGAATAGCTATTAATCTCATATGATCTCACTGATCTCATACGTTAAGTGTAATATTTTCTATATTTAATTATTCTATATACTTACTTTTAATTTTAAAAGATACTACAGTAGTCATTTTTGAAAGCATAATCTAAGTGTACTATAGCAAGACAAAGAATAACGGAGTTACAAATATTAAAGAGGAAACTTTCATACAGTCCACAGCAATCTGGGGAATGATCACAACTGCATGTCTCCTACACTGTAACACTGGCTGAAGAATATAATGAAAAGGAAACCGACTTTTAAAAAAAAGTCAAAGCGAAGAAGCCATAAAAGGATGTTATTTTCTTTTATCTAGACTCAGAGACAGGAAAAATAGCTCCTTCCGGAGGAAGGAGAATCGATGAGGGATCACTGAGATTTGCATGGTAGAAATGAAGGGAGAGTCAGGCCGGGACGATGTTGCTCTTAGCGAAGCCACTGTGACGGACAAAACTACAGTCTAGTCACGGACCCTGTGTGGTTTGGTTTCTAGAGGATTCTGAAGACAGAACCATTTTCCGAATAAAAGTTCTACAGGGAGATATAAAGTTAGAGAGATCAGTTAGTGGAGCCAAGCCTGGTACCAGCTGCTATGGTAACAAGAAAAAACAAACTGAACAGAGGAAGAGTTTGGAGCTGTAAGATGAGACAGTATTTTCCTCACAGAGATACCTGGAGAACACAAAGGTACAGAAAGAAAGGGATGGCAGTTATTAAAAAGATAAAAGTAGGGGCTGGGGATGTAGCTCAGCGGCAAAAAGCGCCTGCCTGGCAAGCGCAAGGTCGTGAGTTCGGTTCCCGGTACCGGAGAAAAACCAAAAAAAAAAAAAAAAGATAAAAGTAAAAGTAATTAGCAACCCACAGCAATTGTAACAACTACTGTAGAAAATCTGTACAGGAAGTCCCTGACTTACGAACATTAGAGCTGCAAACTTTCAGAGATACTAACGGACCTTGGGTTACGAACATTATGTCATAGATGTGAACACATCTTGGAAGTAGCTCACGTGTCTGCTGCCCATGGTCACAGTTGTGCTGCCGTGTGCTTACTGCATGGCAAAGGAGCGTTCCATCAGAATGCTCATTCAGACACCAGGATGTCCGGAAGCAAGAGGGAAAGCAGCACTAATGTGGAGGGAACTAGTAAAAAGCACTAAGCAATACACATTTTATATTTGTATCAAAGGTGTGTAAGCCTCGCTGTGTTGGACTTACGAATGAATCCAACTTAGGAACGTTCTCCTGGAATGGAATTCGTTCCTAAGTTGGGCCCTAACTGCATTAGAAAAGGTATTAAGTCAAATGCAGAGGGAACCACCAAGGTCTTGACAAGGTTATTTCTAGAAACATTACCATAAATCAACGGTGAATGATACACACAGTGGAAATCAAGATGATACGATAATGAAACAGTATTGGTCAGGGATTCAATTTTGCTTTAGTTTCTTCTTTCTGGAAGAAAGGAACAATTGCTAGTCAGAGATTGTAATATTTATTTTAAACACACCCTGTTCGTAGATGTTTACATTAACAGTTTGGTCAATCCACATAAAGGTCACTCACTGTTAGAAGTCTGTTTGTTCTGAAAGGCACACACATACACACAGAGAAACCTCCACTGGATTGTTTTTCTTAAACACACAGAGGAAAGGCAGTCTACTGAACATGTGCTTATACGGGAAGGCCTCCAATTCTATAGAGTACGCATTATATATAGCTGTCATCTAATTAGAGATAGTCCCTGATTTTGGAACCGCAAAAAAAAATAGCTTTTCAATTTTGAAAAATATATTTAAACATGTTTGCAAAAATTTACACGGTAAAATAAAAGGACCTTCACTTAGGTATATTTTCATTTAACATTACTGTAGAGTAGTATCTACTACACAGTACAGTAAACTACATTTGGTTCCAGGGAAATACAATCTACACATTACCTGAGATCTAAATTAACCTAAAATGCCTGCATCTTTTAAACGGTTTAAAGAACTACACTCCTTTGTGAGGCAGATCTGGGTGAAAACAAGGATGACTGACACTTCATCATGGGAGGCGAAGACTAAACATCTCAGCAGATGCAGGCTGTGAACCCTACTACGGATACCAAAAGACTAATCATGCTTTAAATTTAGGAAATAATTCACTATGAATAATTTATTGGACTAGTAAAGCCACTTGGTGCTTTATAGTTGGTATACATTGTCAAAGAAAAGTGACAAGGTACAAATTAAATCTGGAATTTTCTTACTGGAGCTCAGAGTCGGTAAAGTTTAAGAGATGGAATGATGACCACGTACGTGGAGCCCAAAATGTCTCTATCCTCAGTTTCATTGGAACCTGGCACTGTTACAGAAGAAGTATTTTAAGACTCCATCTCCAAATCCAAGAATATCATTCAATGGGTTATATGTTACGATACGTTAAGATAAACTCAGAGAAGTGTCATTTAAAGCTACAAAGTGCAATGGAGAATGTTAAATTTACTAAAACGGAACCAAAAAGTAAGGAGATATGGTACTACTGAACACTGAAAACTAACAGAATAAGCAATTTTTAAGGATTTCACTACCAGTGGCGTAACACTGTACAATATACTTAGTGAAGAGCTGAAGCAATAAAAAAACTAAACTTTGTTTAGAAAAGTGGGGAAATATACTTCACTTTTGAAAATTTTCTGACCAAACTAACGGTAAGAGGTAAGATAATTGTAACAGCATTTAAAAGAAGCTGACCAATAATCAGAAACGTTGGGAATTCAGTAATTCTTATAACTTTAGTATCAAGATAAGATTAATAGCATCTTTCATGTCACATAATATAGTCTGTAATTCATTTTTAGTGCCTCAGAGATTTCCCTGTATATACAGTCCAAGTCTGTGAACTTTTTTTTTTTAGCTTTTCATAAAGGACTTAACATAGCCAAAATACTAAGTATTCTGGATTTTCCAAGATTAATTATGTTCAATTTTAGGTAAAATGTATTTTATAGTTTAAGTTTCTGGGAGCTATTATTCATAGGTAGCATACATACATAGTAGTTCTGTAATAGCAGGAACATTCCACTTTATTAAGATATAAAGACCTCTGTATCAATCATTATGGTAAACACATTTATTGTAGGTTGCAGGAACACGAATAGTTTTAGACTCTCCGAGCACATACTATTTCTAGAAATGATTAGAAAACCATGGGTCCCTGTATTTATTGAACTGAATGACCTGGCAGTAAAATTCAGTTAAGGCTCTGGGCATTGGGGAAACTTCTTCCCACTCGGACCTGCTGCTGTGGTACACCTGCACCTCATCCGTGATTTCGTCAGGCGCGTAGTCACCCCCTAAGATATAAATCTTATCTTCGATTCCAATTGCACCTGCATTAAAGCCTGCACATTCAAAAGATCCTTCACCCTTCCAAACACAAGTATCTGGACAAAAACTATATACCTTATAGGTAGAAAGGTCACATATATACAGTGTACAGTTTACCGGGACAGCTTTAATTAGTGTAGCATGAAAAAATTGCCCAAACTCTGCCACTAGTTCAGACCACTGATCAGTTATAGCGTTATATTTAAAGAAGCAATCAAGTGACGGGTTAAAGGCATCTGTAATCTCTACTTCTGAGCCAAGAACGTAAATGACACTTTGGCATGCACTTGCTTCGGGATAATATATGCCCCTAGGTAGAGGGCTAACAGACACCCATTCTTTGGAAAGAGGGTTGTAAGATTCAACGTCTAAGAGACTTTTAATGTCCTGAGATCCTCTGGTCTTTCCACCGATGACAAATAATTTATTGAGAGCCATAACTGACGTATGCATTGTTCTTGGTGTTTTCATAGTTGATACCAAGAAGAAATCATTTTTGACTGGGCAGTAGCACCAGGTTTGGTCAGTGGCATCGTGATACATCTCAGCAATATGAAGTCGAACCTTTCTACAGCACTTCCCTTTGCAACCACCTGTCAGGAAGATCTTTTCTCCGTAAGTCGACAGGCTAGACCCTGGCAAATCGATCAGGTGTAACTGTGGTAGTATTTTCCATGAGTCAGTTTTAATATTATAGCAAAACGTATACTGATTCTCTCCGTTTTCCTCGGTTTTATGGATGAATATGTATTTTTCAGTTGTGGACGGTCGAGCATCTGGGAAAAGTCCACTAGAACCTTGCACACACTTAATTGCATCCACGATTATGTCAAAACAATCTGTGCTTTTGAGCAAACACTCTTCATTCAGCAGACAGTCTTGAAGTGTATCTTCAGACAACTGATGTAATCTCACTTTTGAAAGCAAATGTTCTAAATACTTTTGCCTTGATTCTAAGTTATGTTTAGTCCAACTAAGGACGACCTTCAGTACCGTTTCTTCTTCAGGAACATTTAATTCGTCTGATTCCAGGCATTTTTGTAACACTCCAAAACTGATCTCTAAGAAATCACTAGATTTGAATAACAGAGAAAAGTGATGCTGTACAAAGTATAGCGCATGCTCAAACAAAGGCATACAGCCATAGCTATCTGAAAGAGATAACAAATGTAAACAATTGACAAGGTTAATGCTTTTTATTAAGAAGTCACTGCAAGCTTTGGATAGGAAGGAAACTTGAAGAAATGATGACAACTGGAAGAACATTTCCACATTATCATCTGTTATTTTCGTTTTCCCAGTATAGGCATAATCAAGAAAAGCTTTTACGGCTTTGGAGGACAAATTAGTGATGGTGACACTGCCGTCATCTCTTTCTTTCATGTTTACTTCAAACATAGCCCTGAAAAAATAAAGAACACAAAAGAACAAATAAATGGGAATATTTTATTACATAACTATATTTAATATGACCTTTGCATTGGTTTCCTTCACTCTAAAATTGATTTAAAATATACTTATAAAATCATATTTTAATAACATTCTAAGAGATTTTAATATATGAAATAATGATGAGCCACATTATTCATCTATCCACAAACATATTTTGTGACTCCCATATTAAGAATATGTACAGTAGAGCAGAGACAGTAACTCATCCAAAAATAACCAAAGCTTAAATTTTGTAGACTGATTTGTTCTTACCCGTTATTCATAAAATTGGCAAAATTTTTCAAATCACAGCATTTACTTATGGGTTAATTAGTATCAACTGTGTCCATAATCACTAAGCTTACTTAAAACATAATTCCTTGGAGCTTAGGATTTTCATTTTTTTTCAAATTAACTTCCAATTTGGCAGTGATACAATATGAAAAGTGGAGTTTTGTGAGATGGCAGTGAATTTCTGTGGGGAGAGTCACTAAACAAGAAACATCTAAAGAAGACATATTTTATACATCATTTTAGGGAAAAGACAGTGTGATTTCATACAACTAAACATAAATAGTACCAGTGTACCACACAAGATTTTGTGTTAACAGGCCCTGAAATATGCAGATGACTGCCTGGATTTGAATAATCAGAGATGCCTGAAAGTTCTTCATTGTTAAAGTCTATTTTTCTTCACACAGCAAATCTGATGTAATCTAAGAAGTTGTGAATTTCTTTGGCTTATAGTAGGTAAAAATATAATAGATAACTTGGAGATCTGTGGGTGGGAAAAATGTATTTTACTACTGGTTCTGGTTCAATAATGATTTATATTTGTCTGGGTGTTTTTCAAAACACTTTTGGCATAGGTGTCCCTGGTGTTCAACGACTGCAAGGAAAAGCCAATTCACTTAGTTGAGCCTACTCCAGAGGGTAACTAAAACTACTGAGGAAGTGGAACATCCAACTGAGAACTAAGGGGGAAGGTATTCCTTCCAAATAAGGAATACCTTTAGAAAAAAGGAGGATTATAAACAGTCGCCCTCTGAAGCTATTTAATATTCTCAATACAAAGTCAAATAAATATAGTGATAAAATATATGCATGTGACATAGTAGGTACAAGTGTTCAATAATGTTCAGCAACTTAGAAATGTTAACTGGTGATGATAATTGTATTAGTTAATTAAAATATCTAGACTCATCTTCGGGTAATATTGAGAGCATGACGTGCAGAGCCAGTGGCCTAGCTTTCTAGCTGCTCCCGCTTACTACCTGGGTAATCCTGGGTCACTTCAAATCACTCATCTGAAAATGCAGATACTGAAGTAATCCTATCTTTTGGGCCAGTGAAAGAAATAACTGAGTTAATCAATGCAAAGTATTAGTTATTAGTGTATTATTATTGTAAGACAGCAAATTTTTTTGGTCAGCCATTATGTATATCTTAATTTACCATCAACTTCCACATTTTCTTTCAAAACATATATATAAGATCATACTTCTATATTTTATAATACTCATCTTTCAAGTATTCAGCTAACATTTACCTCAAATTTACCATGTTGTCATAAAGTGGTTACTATAAAATGTGTGGGATTCCTAGAAACTCCTTATCCCCCATGACTTCACATCTTAATTGCACCTTTCATTGTCCAAAAACAGTGTCAGGTTATTTATCATTCAGTGTGTACTTTTCTGGTGTTCTTTTATTTTCCTCCTAATATGCCAGTGAGTGCATTAGATCATAATACAAATATTATGATTTAATTAGTAACTTTATCTTTCAAAAGTGTAAATTATTTGTACACATTTTGTGTGAACTTTGTACTCATTTAATAAAATGTAAAACATGTCTTTTAATTTAAAAGAGGTAGAAAATGTAAAAAGTATATTGTTCTTTTTTTTCTTTTTTTTGTAGGATGGGGGACTGAACTCAAGACCTTCACACTGACCTATACCCCCAGCTACCCCCATACTGTCTCTGTGTTTTTAAAAATTTAATTTATTCTTCTTCATCTTTTTTTCTTTTTGTTTTTGGTCTTCTTGAGACAGCATCTCACTATGCAGTTCAGGATGGTCTTGAACTCACTTTGTAGCCCAGGCTGGTCTCGAACTCACAACGATCCTCCTGCCTCAGCCTCCCAAGGGTGGGATTATAGGCATGCAGCACCACGCCTGGCTTTTTTAAAAATTTTAAAACAGGGGTCTTGCTAAGTTGCTAAGTTTCCCAGGCTGAGCTTGAACTTGTGATTCTACTTTCCTCAGCCTTATTGTTCTGTTTTAGTAGTAATCTTAAAAATGAAAAATAAGCCGGGCATGGTGGCGGACGTCTGTAATCCCAGCACTTGGGAGACTGAGGCAGGAGGATCATTGCAAGTTCGAGACCAGCCTGGGCTACAAAGTGAGCTCAAGGCCAGCCTGAACTGCATAGCGAGACCCTGTCTCAAAAAAAACAAAAAAAAAAAAAAAAAAAAGAAGAAGAGGAAGAAGAAAAACAGAACCATAAAAAGCTAGGCATAAACTTAGCAAAGTACTATGGACAAAAACCTGTAACAGAAAGTAATTTCAACTAGAAGAGTAGAGGACTTGTAGAATCCTTGTAGAGGACTTGTAGAGGATCTTGTAGAATCAGAAACCTGCTGGCAAATTCAAATGCTTGCATATTTTATTAGCATGAAAATATTATAAAGAAATCAAGCTATATGTCCACACCAGATTATTTCTACGTTTTGCTAGCTTGGACGTAATAACAGCCATCTTAGCTAACATTAATTGAACGCAGTGAGCACTGTGCCAATCATGACTTCTACACAGCCGTATCAGTTGGGTCATATTTTTATTACCCTAAGTTTTCACAAATGAGGAACTTTAGGCCTGAAGGGACTAAGTAATTACTGCAGCGAACACATTCAACAAGTGGCAGATCTGGGACTCAGACTGAGGGAATGTGCGTTAAGAGACCAAGGACTTCACCCGCGTGGAGACTCTGCTGTCACAGGGAGGCGAGACAACAGGCAGGGAGCACACAGGGAGCAGGCGAAGCTAAGTTAGACGAGCAGAGGCAAGGCACTGGTTACTAAGAGCAACGCGGTACAGCGCAAGAACATTTAGCGCCACACTGGAATTCAAAGAATAACTGAGATTACCCAAGAGAAGAAATGCAAAGAACAGATGAACACTTGGAAGCTAGTTAGGCAGACAGCTAGTTCAAAACTGTTGTAGCCTCCCTGTTCTCAGTAAAGTGGGCAGCTCCGAGCCACGGCTCCCATATTCAAAGCCAAAAACCCTACAGAGAAAGATGTTTAGCAAGTAGCAGTAATATCAAAAAATGTGTGCTGAATGAAGTCTAGCTTATCGGAGATGCTCTAAAGACAAGAGATGGCCACTGAAAAATAGGAGTTAAAATCAGGATTAAAATGGTATAAATCATATCTTGTGTATAATATTGTCTTACTGTTTTGACTAAGTTTGTTTATAGAGATTTAAACCCTACATACTTTGCCTCCGAAATTGAACATAATGCAAAATAAGAATTGAAGTCTCCTGCACTATGGCTGGGATGGCTGAAGGGTATCACCAAGACAGATGTGCCTCTCTGCTGGCCAAGAGGCACCGCAGGACGGTATCATCTTGAAACAATTACCAGAGTGCTCAGGTAATGTGTCCACCCCTAACCTTGTAGAATCAGGAACCTGCTGGCATCATAGGGCGTTCTTACAGCGTCATGGCGAGTGACTACATGGGTAAACAAATATATATTTTTATGTATTTTATATACATTTAGGCTGCTTAATATCAGAACAATCTGGGTATTTCAGAGAATCTTTTTTCACTAAGAAGTAGTTTTCCCTACTATAGTAACATGTGCCAAAGAGGAAAAATTTTGAAGTCCTCTGACTGAAGAGTCCCTCCTCTTGGATAATATATGGATCCAATACAGAACTTAAATGTACTTTTCTTTCAGACTCACGTTCTCTGAATTCTGCTTTCAGTTTTGTTTAACTTGTCATCTATTTTGTAATATGATATAGTGTAGGGCTCTCCCAAGGCTGAGCCCAGAAAAAATGAAGTTTTCTTCCCAGAACATTTCATGGGGCTAATGTCCCACAGAACTGTGGGAAATGCTAGCTTGGGAGGACCCACGCTTTCAAAAAGACAGTCTTCGGTTCTCCGACTCAAAAATCACTAGTCAGTTCAGTTCCAATCAGCTTTTCTTTAAGAATTAAAAATTACTATCGCATGCCCCTGTGGAGGAAAAATTGAAGGTAATTATATAAAATAGAAGTCAACTACCCGTATCATAAAATCTGAGGCATAGGTAAGGCAAAGTACCTGAAAAAGTCACTGCATGCCGCCAACACACAACGATGACATGGGATGATTTCATCTTTTATGATTATTTTGAAATCATAAAAGACGTCCTGTTCTCGAAAATTCTGCAGTACACTTAAGATTTTCTGTCCATGGTCTTCTGACACAAGGAAGTTGCTTCTCTTCTCAGAGGGAATTCCATTACAAGAGTTTCGCTGGTTGAAATCATATGAATTATCCATAGCAAATTCCATCTGTTCTTAGAACTAGAATGAAAAAGAAATCACTGATTCAGGAGAGACTTAATGAAAATTTCAGACAACGAAATTTGCTCTCTTTCTGTCACTCACACAAAACCGCTCACTGACGAGAGTCGTACTATGGTAGGTAGTATCATACTTGTTTATTTTTGTGGCATTTAGTAATATATTTCCTTTGAATTTTCAGAAATGTTGAGCTCACTGGAATTAAACAGTACATTATCAGTACCTAACATTCTCAGCGATACAGTTGTGTTAAATAGCAAAATTTACAAATTGTATAAATACAAAGCTTATCTAGCTTCTTGCTGCATGACTCGTCAGTCTCATTGTTTCAATAAACATTAAAATAAACATTATTCCTAGAGTCTTACTGTATATACCCAGTACATCTTCTTTCCTTGTCATTCAGTTTCTTCCAGTAGCAAATTAAACTATTCACGCTGCAACACAGACGACATGACTTCAAACTTAGACTTTCACAAGACAATTGATTAATAAAGATCAGTGCCTACGTTAACTAGTTATGATCTTCACTGAGGAAATAAATGCAAACATTGGTACCTGTTGGCCTATCTGAAAGTAGGAAGGAAAACAGCATAAAACTTTATTTTTAAAGACCATTTTAAACATGAGATTAAGAATCCAAGGTAACTAAAGGCCAGATAAGCATAAACTTCCTGAATTGCAAATTTATAGCATAAAAGTTTCATCACCCAAAGTAAGGAAGTGGAAAACAAAGGAGAAAAAGACTAAGGAACTGGAGGAGCCAGAAAAATCAGAAAACTGGTTCTCCAGTACATTTCTCTTCTGCTCATCCATTGCTTTGAAATCGTCTCAAAACTTAGTGGTGTAAAACAATTTATTATCTTTCACAGTTCTGTGGGTTTAACTCATACATTTTGCTTGGGGCTTTCATACAGACACACACGCAGAATGTTATTGCAGCCATATTAAGGGCTGAGTTAGATGTTCAATATGGTCTCTTCATTCACATTTCATTGAAAGGGTACTTAACAACTGGAAAGACTCCGTCATGATTTAGGAGAGAGGTGGCGAGAAAGTATTACAGTGGGTTTAAGAGAAAATAATGGGCCTAATTTGTGTAAGTTATTCTTTTTAGAAGCTCAGTAAGGTAGGGGCTAGGCGAACATGTAGAGCTTAGGAAATTTTGTTATATTTTATTTTAAATGGGAAAAACTTGAGCATAGTAACATATTGAGAACAAAGGGCAGCTATGAAAAGAAATTTTGACAGTGAACAATCTAAACTCAGCATCTATTTCTGTATCACAAAGCATATTTTGGGACCTTTAAACCAATTAACTGGAGAATAATACAATATGTAAAACTTTCATTCCAAAGACAAGTAAACATTGATAGGCAAATAAATTCTGAACTTTTTTAGTTGTTTAACAGTGTAACAAGTGTGAAGGTACCAGAACTTATCATGTCTTTGTTATAGTTATTTCATTCAGTTCTCAGAGTGATCAAGTTCCTGCTTTCTCTATTTTTCTACTAAAAAAAAAAAAAAAACCCTACAAAAACACACACAGATACACACACATCACAATCATATGAAGACAAAATAAGTGGCAAAAAGAATACTGAATGGCTAGTGAAATGGGGACCTGAGATACAACATGGTGGTGAGCTCCCTGAGCATTCTTTTGGTTGAATATATTCCAGATACTGAAGAGGCTGGAAACCCCAAAACACCAATGGGCACCGATATAAAAAGCCTCAAGTAAAACTTACTCTCTTTAGTCATGGAGCCAGAAAAGGAATAAACTAGGAAGATAGAAAAGTTTTAGATAATAACCCTAGCCATTTTTTGGCTTATATTGACCACATCTGTAAAGGAGCAATAAAGCATGTAGAATTTAACCATAACAGGCTTTAATGACAGGCTTCAATCATCCTTTTCCTGTTTCTCTACTAGGATGGTGTCAGAAAGAGCTGAATAACTATTAAAAAAATGTATGCAGAGAATATACTCATAGTTACTGTAAAATTAACTCAGAACAGAATTTTAAAAAAAGGTGCAAGTAACCCACAGTAAGGCAGAGGAAACAGAAACAAAAATAAACAGAAAACAAAAGACAAATGGTAAGTTTAAACATGCATAACATTGCACTAAATATAAGTGACCTACATATATCAGTTAAAAGACAGAGATTATGAGAGTAGATTTTGAAAACTGACCCAACTTTAGGCTTTGTATAAGTAACTCACTACAAATGTAAGTGGGTTGAAAGTAAGGATAGATGAGGTATTCTATGGGAACATTAATTAAATGAAAGCATAAATGCAATTTTAATAGAAGAGAAAGTAGATATCAGCAAGAAAAATCTTAATGGATACAAATAATAGTAAGCCAAAAAAAGACCTGAATGCACCAAAAAACCAGAGCTTTAAAGATGTGAAGCAAAACCTGATACAGCTTAAAAGCAAAAGATACAAATTCACTATTATTGCTTATGACCTCAATGCTCTACTCTTCAAAATTAAGTGAACTAGACAAAAAAGTAGTCAAAATATAGAAGGATTCCACAATACGTTCAATCTTCACCTAACAACATGATATGTATTCTTTTTTAGTACTCACAGAATATATGCCCAGATTGAACATATCCTGCTCCACAAAACAAATTTCAAATGAATCAGAACTGAAATTACACACATTTTCTGAACATAACGGAGTCAAACTAGAAATTAGTAACAACAATGATAAAACCTATGAAAATATACAGTTATTTGAAAGTTAAATATACTGCTACAGGATTGCAGACCAGCCTCAAGATTAGTTATAAAATAAACTGAACTGAAAATAAAACATCAAAATATGTGAGATGCAGCTAAAACAGTACTGAAAGGAAAATTTACAGCACTAAGTATTTACATTACTAAAACTAAATATGAGATATATAATATGAACATCCCTTTAATTACTAAAGAAATTCAATATATCAAAAATTTAAAGAAGAGGGGCTGGGGATTTAGCTCAGTGGCACAGCGCCTGCCTGGCAAGCGCAAGGTCATGAGTTTGATTCCTGGTACTGGAAGGAAAACAAAAAATAAACAAACAAACAAAAAAGTATGAATGGCTAACCTAAAAAAAAAAAAATTTAAGAATAAATACCAATTTTAGACAAGTTCTTCCAGAAAATATGAAGGGGACACTTTCCAACTAATTTTATAAAATCAGTATTACTGTGGTACTCCAAAGACAGCATGAAAAGAAACACACACACACACACACACACCTTCATAACCACTGACCAATATCTCTTACAAATGTCAGTGTAAAAACTATTAATAAAATATTAGCAAAAAGAACGCATCAAAACATAAAAGGAACTAAATTATGACCATGCAAGTTTATCCAGGGAAGCAAGGTTAATAATATCAATCAACGTATGCCATCATTGCTGAAGCAGAAAAACTACATGATTCTATCAATTCATTAAAAAAAGCACTTAAGAAAAATCAAATACCTATTCATTAGAAAAACTCCTAAGAAAGAGAAGTGAAAGTCCGCCCTCTCAAACTTCATAGGGAATATGATGGTACAAAAATCCCCTACATGACTAACATAGGAATGGTAAAAGATTAAATGCCTTCTCCCTAAAATAAAGACAACAACGACATCCACTCTCAGTACTACGATTCCTCATAGTACTTAAAACTCTAATCGGCACATGAAAGCAGGAAAAGTCAATAAAAGGCATATGCACTGGTAAGGATAACACAAAACTGTCTCTAAGTGCAGATGCTAAGGAGTCTACCCAGGAAATCTCAAGGAATTCTCATAAAAAACTCTCAAAATTAGTAAGTAATCAGACACACATATGATGTAAGATCAACACACAAAACCTAGCTGTATCTTTATATATTAATAATGAACATCCAAAACCAAAATTAAAAATGCCTGGGAAAGAAATGCTTAGATACAAATATAACAAAGCACATCCAGGGTTTGTATGCTGAGAAGTACAAAATCCTAATGAAAGAAGATTGAAATAAAGAGAGAGACATGGCCCCATAGTGGAGACGACTCATGATGTCATAGTGAAGGCCTCAAAGCTGGTGTGGTGGTACTACATGCCTATAATACCAGCACTCTGGGAGGCTGAGGCACGAGGACTCCAAGTTTGAGCCCAGTCTGGGTAACTTAGTGCGACCCTGCTCAAAATAAAATTTCAAAAAGGACTGGGGACATAGTGCAATGCAAAGGCTGTGGGTTCAATCTCTAGCACCACAGGGGGAAATGATGTCAGTTCCCCCTAGGTGATACACAGATTTATCACAACTGTTATCAAAATTCCAGCAAGATGTTTTGAACATATGGTTTAGATTATAATATCTAATACAATTTGGAAAAAGTGTAATAGTAAGGCAATAACCATTCTACTTAATTTGAAGATTTATTTATACATAACCAAGACCGTGTGATAGCAACAAAGGACAAACACAGGGGCCAGTAGAATAGAATACAGAAGTAAGAAACAGCCGCCACATACACAGTTATTCCTGAGAAAGGTCCACAAACAATCCAATGAAAGAAAAATAATCTTTTCAAAAAATAGTGCTGTAGCAAATGGCCAACAACTCCATTTCTACCAAGCAAGGAAAAAATAACTGAACCTAAGCATCATATTTTATAGAAAATTTAACTCAAAATAAGTCAGGTTTAAATTGAAATTATAAAAACATTAACTTTTAGTAGAAAACATAGAAGAAAACTTTTGTGACTGAGAATTAACCAATGAGTTCTTACACATGACATCAAAAGCACAATCTGTAAAACAAAAATGCATTAATAGATTGGAATTCTTCAAAATTAAGATTTTTTTCCTCTGTGAAGGACTCTTTTAAGAGGATAAACAGTCTTAGAGCTAAGAGAAAATATCTGCAAATCAAGTCTGTTAAAGTAGGCATAGAACTTTCCAAACTCACCAGTAATAAATCAGATTACCCAATTAAAAATTAGACAAAGGGCATGAAGAGACATTTCATCAAAGAGAATATACAGATGATAAACACATACACTTACCATATTACCCAACAACTGCACTTGTGGGCAATTACCACAGCGAAATAAAAACTTGCACGGGCACAAAACCTTGTCCATGCTGTTTCATAAAAGCTTCATTTGTACAGTAAAAAGCTGGAAACAGGCAACATGTTGCACAATGGGTGAATGAATAAACAATCTGTGGAACATCCAGCTGCTCACCACTAAAATACTACTCACCATTAAAACTGAACAAAATATTGACACACCTAACAAGTTAAATGGATTTCAGGGCATTACGGTAAGTGAGAAGCTAATCTCAAAAGGTCACACAATGCTTGTATCACTCTTGAAGCAAAACCAGAGATACGGAAAACAAGTGAGTGGCTGCCGGGTTGAGGACCGTGGCAAGTGGGGGAGTGAGCTGAGGGAGCCATGTGTAGTGACCCTCAGTAATCTGCACCTTGATTGTGGTCATGGTCTCAGGGAACGATACGTATGAGAAACTCACATGGAACTGAGTATGCACATTGTACCACTGTAAAATCTTTACTCTGATTTTGTACTATAATTGTGGAATTTTGGTGTTCTAATTATATAATTTTATAATGCTTAATCATATAACATAACCACTGGGGTAAACTGGGTTAAAGGTACATGAACACTCTATATCTATGGATAATTATTTTACAATAAAATTTCAGCCAGGTGTGGTGGCTCACACCTGTAATCCCAGCACTCGGGAGGCTGAGGCAGGAGGATCTTTGAGAGTTTGAGGCCAGCCTGGGCTACAAAGTGAGCTCAAGGCCAGCCCGAACTGTATAGTGAGACCTTGACTCAAAAAAAAGACAATAAATGAATAAAATAAAATAAAATTTAAACGATAAAATATCAACTCAATTCACAAACTACTGTCACATTCTAGTTTTGTTCTAAGTGTTCAAAATATTTAAGAAATGCAAAGAAATCATCACCCTATTTGGAGCATGACATGGTTTCTCAGTATTTTTAAAAGTAGAAAATAAAACAACAAAAAGGTATCAAAACAGAGACTTTCAAAAGGATAAAAACTATACTTCTGCATAGTGGCATAGGCATCAAGAATATCAGTTTAAAAGAACCCAACCCAAACACTTTTCAATCAATTTCATTATCATTAAAAACACACATGTAATTTAAATAGTTAGATTGAGTCAGTTATTGAGGATCATGGTTCATATATAAGAATTGAATCCAATCATGTAAGCATAAAATAACTGTTATTTTTATAAACAGAAACTTTAGTAGAAAAGTTCAAGTATATTAACAAAAATTTTAAAATCATATATACTCACTTTGATAAAACTTTTAAAAGTACAGAAAGCCATGTGTATTCTACATAGAATCATAAATCCAAAGAGCTAAAAATTTCCGTTTCTTAAATTTGGTTAGTGTAAAACTCTACTTGAAAAACGTATTTTGCAAATAATAAAACCATGGGATTTGGAACTAGAAGACGACCATCTGAAATGGCCCATCACTTACTACTGCCTGCTACTTAGGCTCTGGGAAGCTCTGGCTTCCTTTTCTGCAAAGTAGGTAAACTAATCACACTGGCATGTATGATACTTAAATGATGTCAAGAATATTGAATTATCTCAGATGCTCATTTTTGGATTGGGTCTTTGAATTTCGGGGTCCTGATTTTTTAAGAATTCTTTATATGTTTTAGATAGAAGTCCTTTATCTGAGGGACAGTGGCTAAATTTTTTTCCCAATTCATGGGTTTTCTTTTTACTCTGTTGGTGATTTCTTTTGATGTGCAAAAACTTTTCAATAACAAGAGATCCCAGTTGTCCATTCTTTGAAGTATTTCCCACGCAGTTTGGGTTTTACTCATAAGTGAAATAAATCAGACCCGCATGTGTAAACATCTTATTGTCTCCCTAGTATAAGAATCTGAAAGAGTAAATAAAAACCAAAAGGTATAATAGATATTGTGAAAGGGAAACAAACTGCTTAAAAGGAAAGAATAACTGGAATGAAGGAAAAGAAAAAAGAAAGAAGAGAAAAAATATATATACACAAGATATCTAATCATAGTACTAATTTCTCTTGGTTTATTGAAAGGAACAGTTAATCTTTAATTTTTTTGGACCGATTTTACATGCTCATATCTGGTAATCTGAACTACTATTTTGAAGACAACAATATGCAACATAACAACCACTATTGAACTCCTATCATCTTGTTTTTTAAAATTCTCATCATTTCTAATGTTTTATTATTTTTTTCCTCTTTAAAATAAAATAAAAAAGAACATTCTGCCTAAAAAAGAATACTGAATTAATACTATCAAGTGGCATATAAATATTAGTGATTCCAACCAATAATATTATGCACAGTAATATTATGCACTAATAATTCTTAGCTGACAAAATTTTTGTAAGATAAAAATTTTTCTTGAAGTATCTTCAAAATCAATGATGATATTTTACACATTCTAAGGCACATTTTTTCCCATGTATAAGTGAAGTGGACAGGCATCTTATCATTTTAGTTGGATAACATGACATATTTCTCGCTATATGTGTATTAAATTTGAAGAATGGGTATCGTCTTGGAAGAAAATCCTAGTGGAGAGAATAACAGAGATTTGTATAAAAATGGTGAATGATGCTTTAATAAACAGAGAATGACACTACTGAATAAAACATGGACACAGGGACTATGCTGAAAGTGAGTCAAAAATCCTTTAAATATTAAGACATTTTAGGAGTGTTAATTAATTTCGCTTTTATTTTTCTTTTTATGCAGGTACAAGTATATTTTCAAAAAGGAGTCTTTGAAGAAGAGTTAAAACTTCTCAGTGATAAAACGTTTGCCATCGTTCAGTGGATTTGTTCCCCAACTAGCTGATAAACAATGTACTTTATCAGGTTGTATCTTTTTTCAGTGAGTTACCTTCCTGATCAAAATTCTGAATTCCCTTTCAAAACTATTATTTTATCCTTTATTTGAAGGTCTTCTATTAAAACTTGATTTACATAACGGAATTAATAAAAAGTATAAGAATCAAGCCTAAGAACCAGGCCTGCGCAGTAAACCACTGTGAGAAAAGTAGATGTCCCTGACGGGAGCAGAATACTGAACTAAAGCTGTGTGCTAACCGCTCTCGGCTTTGCTCTCAGTGAGTCTTCCAGGGGCACTGACTGGACCCCCGACATTTCAGTGTGGAACATAACTCTGGCTCACTTTATTCACTATTTCTTACAAATAATAACTACATAAAAGGTGCCGAAGTAGGAACTAGAAATATTTTGGGAAATATGGCAAATGGTCTCTGCATTTGCAGTGCTTACTATCTACCTAAAAAGGAAGACTGACAGTAAATTACATTAATTAATAATTCTAAATTGTTACTTATACGGTGAAGAAGCACAGTATAGGGAACGGAAATAAAAAGGAACATGGTGGGGGCAATCTACTTTAAAAAATGTCAACAATTTTTTCAAAAATTAAAAAAAATGTAAACAGTTAACATTTATGTCCCAATTACTCTGTGCCAGGCTCTATACTACATGCTTTATACACTCTTTGGATCTTTTTTTGTTTTGCTTTGTCTTTTTGAGACAGGGTCTTGCTATGCAGTTCAGGCTGGGCTTGAGTTCACTCTGTATCCCAGGTTGGTCTCAAACTCGCAAGGATCCTCCTGCCTCAGCCTCCTGAGTGCTGGGATTAAAGGCGTGCACCACCACGCCGCTACCCGGCATACTTTTTTAATCTTCAAATGAGCTGTATAAACAGGACACTATTATCATTCCCATATGAAAAACAAAGAAAATGAGATTTTGAGAATATAAGTAATTTGACTACAGTCACATAACAAGGAAGTGGGCAGCTGGGAAGTGGACCTAGACAGTCTGGCCCCAGAACCCTTACATGTCAGTATTAAGAAAGTCGTTCGGAAAAGGTGTCATATGAGTTTTAAAAGATGAGAAGAAAAGAAGTTGGTGGAGGAAATTACACTCCAAACCTTAAAATGAGAAAGGAGTCCTTCAGCTTCAGGAGGTGAAAGGGGCCCCTGCGGCTGGAGTACAGTTAGCAGGCTGGAGATAACAGCTGCAGAAGGCAGGTGCAAGGCCACACAACTGCTAACTTTAACTGGGCAGTGAACTGATCTGGTTTATACTTTTAAACACGTCCTTAGCTGATAAATGAGGGGAAAACTGAAAGAAGGTTAAGAAGGGTTCACGTCGTTCAATGATTGTTAGGATATTCAGGGAATACCTATTATTACTGCAGGGAGTATCCTAAATACGGGGGAACATAGCTAAAAACAATGCAGACAAGTCCTCTACTCTGATGTACACACACACACACACACACCCTCCCTCCCACCCCTATATGAAAAAATGTTCTTGTTCTAGTCATTTTCTATAGCACACACGTTCTGGTACCTCCCATCTTTAAACAAACATGAAACAAAAGAGTCTATCCTTTGGCTACTGATTCTATTTTAGAAACCACCCCACTTTTCTCTTAACCAAAAGAACTTCTTTAAAGCGCACCGTGGAGAAGCATCACCTCCATTCACCATCCCTAACCCCCTACAATGGAGTCCCTCTCTCTTACCCTAGTAACACCACTCGCACCAACGTCAGCAGGCTAGGACTGCAGTCAAATGCTCACCCCTCTCTCCTTCGCTCACTTCACCTCTAGGGAGTATTAGTTTCTCACTCATCTCTTAGTTTCTATGACACCACACTCTTCAGGCTTTGCACTTGGCTGGCCCGCCTTCTGCAACAGAATTAGGAGGTGATGAGGCTGGGTGTTTGGAGCATGGACTAGGAGACGTAGCTCCAAAGACAAGTTATATTTATGGCATGGAAAAGAGACACCGAGAAAATGCTCCCCTTCCCAAGCTGCGCACACTAAGCAGTAGTGTATTGTAGGTGAGAAAGGATGGTGGTTTCCACTACAGGTAACCAGCAGAGGAGACAAGACAATTGGACAGGTATTGTTCTGTGTTAGAAGCAGGATCAACAGGACTTTGGGATAGGTTGGGTATGGAGAAGGGGGGAAAAGGAGAATCACAGCCTGCTCCAGGCATAGCAGACAGAATTACGGAGCCATCCCATGAAATCTCGGGGGAAAGGGTCAAGGCTTAAGGGAACAGAGTTTGCAGCTCAAGGAAGAAGCTAGTGATCTTTACCTTAAAATTACCTAATATTAGCAATGATCTCATCTGATGTCTTTTCACTGAAATTAATTCAAATTACGTGATTTACCCAAAGTCACATAGGTACTTGGTGGTAGAAATGAAACACGGTGTAAGTCGACCAAAATGCTAAAAAGCCGCAAATCTGGATCAGGCAAGGTAACGATGGCTCACCAACGGGTTCTTTCTCTGTTATGCTAGTCATCAACTTCTTCTGACCAATGGAACAAAGATTTTTAATAGTTTTTGGGCTTACTGAATAAGGTATTAACAATGCTTACACTTCCTTTAAAAAACTGAGGGAGGTAAAGGTAGGCAATAAAAACTCGTATTATTCCCGTTTGAATAATAAAATGTATGGTAAAGGTCAGTAACATTTATCCCTGTCTACTATCCGTAAAAATTATACATGAGATTCCCTCTTGAGCAGTTTGTATTTTAATCTGCAAGAAAACACAAATAATGCAGAAATGTAGGAAAATTGTCATAAGGCAATACTGGAATAGTTGCCAAGCTAATTACGTAAACAACGTGAGTTACTTTAAAAGTACACTGGAGTAGGCCTTAAAGGAAGGTAGGGTTCAAGCTGAGCCTTCAAGGACAAGTAAGATTTTAAAAAGTAAACAGGGAAGGAGATTAAATTAAACCTATCATGAGTGTTCACTCAGGGTACTAGGCTTGGGTTAGGGATAGGAAGGGGAAAGGCAGTTAATTTTAAACTACGTGAGTAGGGGCATTTCTCCTTCTATGACACTTGAAGCTGAATGACACAGGAAAACATGGAATGTGATGCTAGCAAGATGGAAGAACATTCCGGGTAGAGGAAAAAAATACAAATAAGGATGACCTCCCTGTCTGTATATTAGGCTGCAGAGATCTAATACACTGAGCTTAGTTCAATGTTAATATAGCAGAATACGACTTCCTAGACTTGAATTTAAAATTTCCCATCCACAAATTCCTTCTGAGCTGCTTCTCTATTACTTATAACAACCAATACACAAAGAATATGTACCGTACATACCACCGTTTTGCAAAGAGAAAATACATCAAAATTATAAAATCAGTTCAAAAAGACAGGGGAGGTTATACTAAAGTGCTTACACACCTAAAGTGAAAACTGAATACTTGACTGACAGTCATTGCAGGTATGGGTATTAACGCCTTTTACACGTCTACATTTACACTTATTGTAGCTTTTTATGTTTGTGCCTCATCTGCCTTGCCAGACAGTAGGGGAGCTTACTGCCAGTGGTAAGCAGATCTTAAACACGGCACCTGACTCAGGCTTTTAGCAGGAGTTGACACAGCAAGTCTGTAATTAATGTTACTGTCCTCGGAGAGCGGCTGGGTGCGCGCGTGCACAATTCCATCTGCTTGCAAAGGATTCGAGGCTCAAGGTATCACAAAAGGGGAATATATTTTTCCCATTCCCTTTTTTGCTATCTTGAGAGGAGCAAGTATACATGAAAAACAGACTAAAAATCCAATTTAAGGATAACAGAAATAAGGGGCATGTAATTATGTTATTACTCGCTGGGTATTTTCGGGGCGCCGTAGGAAGACGGGGATAGGCTGAATGCCACCTTAGAGCACCCAATCTACCATCTAGAGAGGCATTTGCATTTCTCTGCAGAGATCAACTTTTCCTTGGGCCAGCACCCGGAGGAGACGTCGATCAAGGTGGCTTTTAGACGAGGCATCTGCATTCTACGAGGAGCAACTACGGGGGAAGACATACCAACGTGACTTCTTCAAGTCTGAAAAACAAGCTGAGTAAGAGCACGGAGTAAACGAAGGGCCGCCTAAGTTCTCTGCTGGATTTTGCTGTTCTCGGACAGCTTAGGGGCCTCTGGACGGAGTCACCGGGGCGCCAGCGACGGCGCCCCCCGTTTCCCCCGCGGGCTGCAGCCCCCCCGCGGCCGGCGCAGGGCAGCGCCCG